GCCATGGGGCTCCCCACAGCTTCCACTTGGCAAAGCATCTGCAGGCTCTCCTGTTTCCCGTCCCAGCCTGGAGTTGGCTGTCTACACTTGCGGTGGGAGGCTGGAACCCATCAATACAATCTTCCACATTTGCTTTCCTGAGCTGGGGAAGGGTTTTTTTTAGCGATTAATTTGAAACAAATGACGCCCGCATGTCTCTTGTTTGCCAAACAGGCTCTTGAAAATGTGCAAACACAGCCATTCACTTCGGCTGCCGGCACCCACTACGCCATTTGCTGCTGTTTGAATTCAGCTCAGGACCTCACCCCCCCCCCCCGTTGATTACTATATTCACGTTGTCTTTAATGCACGATACGGGTTTCTCTTCAGCTCCTCAATGAGAAGTGACACATGCACCGCGCAGCCCATGTGTGAGGAGAGCTCTGGGTGCAGAGATCTATTGACAGCACTCCGGCAAGGAGACAAAGCTGGAGTCTAGTGGAATCAGGCGCAGGCTTAATTAACACCATCTTAAATAGTCCAACAGGCACCGAGGACAAAGTTGAAGAAAGATACGGGTTTCTCTTCAGCTCCTCAATGAGAAGTGACACATGCACCGCGCAGCCCATGTGTGAGGAGAGCTCTGGGTGCAGAGATCTATTGACAGCACTCCGGCAAGGAGACAAAGCTGGAGTCTAGTGGAATCAGGCGCAGGCTTAATTAACACCATCTTAAATAGTCCAACAGGCACCGAGGACAAAGTTGAAGAAAGACTTTAAGGCTGAGTGCCCCTCGACAAGCTCTCCCCCCCCCCCCCCCCCCACCTGTCATTATTGCTACTACTGGTGCTCCTTTCTCAGCGAGTACATTATTTTTTCACGGTGCCCATGGCCAGGGAAAGCCCTTTAGGCAAAGAAAATCAAAATGTTTGTTGTTTTGGATGACTTATAACTCTTGTTGAACACAAGCGCTTCCAAGGAAGTCTAACAGGCGCAGCCTCCAAAGCAAACAACGGGACCCTTGTGACAGAGCCCCTCACAAAAAGCACATTGTGCGCCGGCCCATTCCCTTTCTCCGGGGCTAGATGGGTGCCTGTAGGAGAGGGAACGCCGCGATGCCATTTTACTTTTGAACTATTGTTTTTGAGTTATGCCATGTGCTCAAAAGGAGCGAAGGGGAGGCTGTTGCCAAGCTCCTGAGACAAACGAGTTGCCTTTCATTGAACTACCCCCGCGCTCCTCTACAAGGAGGTTTAAATGTCACCTCCATGTTTTTAATGGACACGGGGCTGCAGGGGCGACCCTTCAAAGCGCCTTCGTAATAAACGACCCTTATTAAATATGGCTCTGCCTGGGAAAATCACTTGGCAGAAGTGGGGGAGGGGGGCGCGCAGAGCTCGCCTTGCGAGAGACCTTGTGGGGAGTTGCCCCGGCTGCGCTCCGCGCTGGGAGGCAGAGAAAGCGGTGTCCCATTTTGAGTGCTTGGGTTTTGTGGAGGGAGAGGTCTGGGGTGTGTGGCGGGAGGGGGTTGTGCGCAGAGGGGAGAGAATCGTAATACAACCGCCTTTTCCTCCCCCAATTCCCAACCCTCCCCCCCAAAAAAAAGACGCTGAGTGAAAGGTTGGGGTGTTTTCCTCCTGACTTCTTTTTGTCTTTGGGAGAGTGGCGTCTGCAAGTCTGAGCTGGGAAGTTACTGATTTGCAGGCTGCATGTTAAGGCAGCCCATGTAAGTAATTTCTACGGGCATCCCAGCAAAGGAGAACAAATCGTTGACAAAGGCCAGCCCTTTCAATTCAGCAGCGTCGTTAGGGCAACCAAAAAGTATTCCTCCTATAATAAGTTCCACTTCAAAGGATTTCTCATTCAACGGTGACTGCTTCGCACTTTTATTAAGTCCGGGCTTTTTCACTTGGAGGAATCATCTGTTTGGTTATTTTTCATCGTGTTTATTTTTCACCATTCACTCAGTACTTGTATTAAATAAACAAAGAACAATCGCTCTGCAAATAAAAGTGCATAGGTGGGGGGGGGGTGGCGAGAGAAGAAGAGCTCGGGATGGGGCTTTCTTCCCATGTATTTATTTGTTTATTTATTTAAGTTGCCCGCGATGGTGAGGGGCCTGCAAAAAGCACGAGATGGAAGCCAAAAAAATATGAGAGGTTCTGATGAAGTGAAAATTGACTGAACTAACACGGCATGAAACTAAAGGTCAATGCAACTGTATCTTAATAGAGTGTCTCGAATCGAGGTGGACTGTTTTGAATGCAGCCTGCTTTTGCTATCCGCATTGCCATAGCAATACTAACGCTCCATGTTGATGTACCATAAAAGCAGTAGTTTGAATTTCAAAGAACCTGCCTTTGAACTTCTCCCTGCCTGATTAGGCACTTGCGTTGTGTGTGATTGTGTGGCTGAGAGTGTGTTTGTGCGCGCGCGCGCGTGTGTGTGTGTGTGTGTTTATGCCACTATTTTGGGAAAGAAGGAGGGTGTAAGGCGCTCAGATCCTGCAGACATGGAGTGAGAGGGTTATAAAACGTGGGATCAGAATGAGTGTAGAAGGATACAACGTTCGTGTGGCTGAGCAGGATTGTACCAATTTGTGGCTGTTGATGTGTGTGTCTCTCCTGGAATACCCACTAGCCTTCCGGCGAAGGAGTACCTGAAATAGTCTCTTTGAGAAACTAGCAGACCATGTTTCCAACTGTATTGCCTTAGTAGCTCTGTGTGCACAAGGTGTAAGGAAAGCACTGGCTATGTCTCCCTTGGAAACAAAGCCTTATTCTCAAACCAAACTATCTGTGGCTGCGGTGACATTGCCACACATGTGCACACGCACGTGAGTGCGTACAAACTATCCCTCCGCCCCAAGACCTCAGCTGTATTGTACGTGGCTATCTAAGACACCCGCCCCTAGAACGTCTTGACATGTAATTTCCCACACTCACACGAATTTTCGGACTCTGTTAAAGTTTGGTATCACTGCCTTACCCCTCAAAGGACTGAAGAGCCCCTGCAAATAATAATGTGTGGTGAAATGTCTCACAGGGCTTAATACAAAGGTAGATGATTTAAACAGTGTTTGTTAGGAACACGTTTTGCCTAGAAAAGATGAAGTCTTTGATGATGGCCAACTTAGTGTCAATAAGTGGCTTTCTTTGAGACATATTCAGATGGGAACGTCTTGCTTGCCAATTGCCATAGAAATCTTAACACACCATGAAGATTGTCCAAGCGCCAAGCCTTCCGTTCTGGGCTAAATTACTTTGAAGTGGCGCAGGACGTGCACTGGTCAATTTTAACTCTATAGACTGGACAGAGAACACTAGGAGTGGGAGATTGTGCGTTTTAAAGCAGAAAATAAGAAGGGGAAACTTGTTTTATACTCTCTATACAAGATTCTGCTCATTGTCAGATATCTTTTATCTTTTATATTTCCCATGAATGATTCATGTCTTGGTGGCTTTGTGTTGCCCTCCTTTTCACAAGAAACTTCATTAGAGAGCTATAAGTTTTCCCATTGATTGGAGCTCTCATTTATGAGTGTTTTTCTGCTTCGTATGTTGGTTATTGTCATTTTGCTTGAAACAACTCTTTGCAACCTGTTTCACCTTTACCACATTTAACAAAACTGACTTAAAAAAACACTATAACCTTTTGGTTAAATTGTTATTGACATTTTGACCAGTCATTTTCAAGTATTGGGACATCACATTCAAAATTCCTGAGCTAGCTTTAAAAAACAAACAAAAGCAGAAAAAAATCTTCAATAAATACAGATATATTACTTTACCTATGCGTTTTTGTATATTAGCTTTTTCTCTGTTTTCATTTTCTGCACAGATATATATCAATGATATATTTTATGCAGCTTGCAAGAAGCTACTTTGACATGATCTCATAACATATTAATATATTAAATATGTTACATAAAATGTTATGAGATCATTTATATAACCCAGAATAATTTGCTGTAACTATTTTTTTTATGCCAGGATCGCTAACAGTTAAACTATTCGATACTCTACATGCATGGTTTCTCATGAGTGCCAGAAAGGTCCAGCCAGCTACAACAAAATAAACATTCATATTTTAGGTACTGGGATTGTCAATACTGTTAGTTTGATTAGCTGTCATTGCAGAAGCGAGATGTAATATAGCAAATAGTAATCTATCTATCCCCCTGCATGTAAACATATTAGTAAAATGTTTAACTGTTTCATTATTAGGAGCCAAATCTTGTAACTCTTCTCTATTCAAGCGATTAGCCCGATGGACTTCCGTGGAAACTACTCACGAAAGTAAATATAGCAGAAATGGATGCTGACTGATTGACGATGATGTTTACTATTAGAACCTCCCCATTACATACCTTATTTGTTGACTGAAAATCAAATCTAAATAACAAAAAGAAACATTCTTCACTTATATTTTTGTTGGAATAATCACAGTATGTCACATGACTAAGAAAAATATCCTGAGCATTTGTCTTACTGTTCTTCACAGGTGTATTATGACCTGAAGTACAAAAGCATCATTATCTATCTATTTATGTATCTATCTATTGTATGTGGGTACTTGGTCTCTAGCTATCTCTCATTTATCAGTAAAGCACATGCAATACATAGAAAGAATACTTTTATTTATTTGCTTGATGATCATTCTTGCTTTCTTATGGTCGGGTTTACAGAGATGGAGGAGTTTTTTTTTTAGGAGGTATCGTGTCATAAAATGTATGGGCAAACGTGTGACCTTATGTGTGGCATAGTACATAAAAATAGTAGTATATCCCCCAGTTTCATATTTTAAAACCCCTATAATGTAGTAATGTATAGTGCAATCTATTATTGAAAAATTGTATAAATTAAACAATTCGTTATAAATCAGTAAGAAAATTATTTCTAACAAGATTGTATTACATAAATTATCCTTTAAAAGTCCATACCTTACTTTATTATGTTCTATTTATTTGAATGGTCTTTGAAAGTGAAAAAAGCAAATAAAATAAACTTTAAAAATTATTTTCTATTCAAGTTTTCTTGATTTTTAAAAGAATGTCTGTATCTTTAAATTCACCATAACAATATGAAGACAACGTTGAAAGGCTTCCAGATTGACAGCACCATGCACTGTACTAATAATATAATATCTCTATAAACTATATATATCATCACCACACACTGCACAGAAGACATGCAGGAAGAGCTTGTTTTCACATTACATTGTTCATTCAAGTAAGCTGAAAAATATAATGATTTTTTAAACAAACCACGGAATCATAAACAACAATCAATCACCAAAATTAATAATATAATTCTTTGGTGTGTTCTGTACTCTTCCAGAAAAGGATGATGTCCAAAAATAAATTAATTCAACTGTACAAAATAATAGCAGTCACATACAAGTTAGTAACAATGACAAGACTACATCAACCAGTCACAGCACACAAAACAAATTTCTACAAACCCTGTGGGAGGGAAGGCTACCTGTTTACATATTCAGGGTCTCTGAGGATAAATTAGTGCTCTTTAGTTTATTTGTATGATGTTTATGATGGACTAACATTCTGCATGTGAAATGTGTCGTACCAACCGCAAATAAATTGACTAAGAGTTATCGTCATAGTTCCCTGACCTTTTTCCTTAATAGCTTGACAGCTATGCCAAAGGTCATGTACTCATCAGTTTTTTTGCTCTAACTACAAACCTTTTACATTTTAATATTTGTGACAATTGTTTTCCTCTTTTAATGTAACTGGCCACTACACATGGTCATTTGAAGATTGCCAGGAGAGGGGGAAGAATGAATTCAACCATAGTTTTAGGTGTTGAAAAAAATGTTGAAAAAATATGTTTTCAAATATGTCTTCACAATAGTATAAAAGGAGATTGATCCGTCTAAAAATATCAGCTTTCACAAGTGTCACAGCTTCTCATATTTGAAGATTTTAAAGTAATAATGGCTCTGATGTCCAAAGCACTTTTGACCTATCAACACACTCTACTACACACATGGTCTGACATAGCAAGATGCAAGATCTTCTTTTTTCAACAAACTTTGCAAAAAGGGAACTGAATTCACTTTTGAATTTTGTGCGCTATTTTAAAAAAATCACAGTATCACAGTTGTCAGAGAGCAGCAGTTTTCTTTTATTCTCCTTTTTTTGTCTCAGGACTCATCATGATACAACATTGTGGAGAAATGTTAAGAGAAATGCTGCATCTTTTTTTTTCTTTTTAAAAACCCATTTTCACATTGTATACAGCTAAGGGATAAGGAAACAAACCTACGTATAAAAAATACTGGATTTGGGGGAACCTAAGGACTCAGATTAAAAAACAAAAGTTACAAAAGATCTGAATTGAAAGAGGGAGAAAAAATTAAAAATGTGTAACCAGTCCACGAGGTGCTGGAAATTCAGCAGGTGGGGCTTGTTTACAATCAAGAAGCCATTGTGGAATTGGGGCCTAGATAGGCTGTTAAGAAGCCCCCAGAATGGTATCTGAAGTATATAAAAGCCACTCCAGGAAATGGAGAGGGTCCTATCAGCTGGCAGGATTCAGAATGGGCACTCTTCCTCTCTCTTTCTCTTTTTAGAAACATCGCAATGGCATTGGCAGTGTATGATCTTGACAAACTGATCTATCCATTGAGCTCCCTTGGCATCCTCCCTATACCTGCAAACATGCAACTTGATTCACTGAGATAGTTCAGCTTGGTAGGTTCATTTATTATTTTGGATATAAAAGGGTCCAAGTGTCTTTAATTAAATTAGTTACGTTTACAAACACCATAGGGTTTTATATACTGAATAAATAGCGGTGAGTCAACATGACGACAATTTTATGCCATCCATTTATTTCAAGCTTTGTGTCCGCACAGTTTGCATGGTCCAAGTACTCCCAAATCAGAAAGTTGGTGTTTTGCTTCTAGCGGATAGTTCTTGTATCAGAGTTTCTATAAGCCTCTTCATCTTCCGAGTCAGAGGATGTAACGTTGCTGGAAGGTGTATGAAGGTTATTAGAAGCCCCACTGGCCTGACAGACGTACCACTCATTGAGGTTGGTGACCTGAGGGGAAAGATTGGCAGAGCGGCCCCTGGATGAGTCCTGGGCAGGAGACAGGGGAGCACCTAGGGGGGTTCCTACAGACTGGTAACCGTGAGATCCAGGGGTAGGGGAAAGCGGTGGAGACTTGCAGTGTATCTTCATGTGCTTTCTTAAAGAGCTGGGATGCGTGTAAGATTTATCACAGCCTCTGACTTTGCAGTAATATGGCTTATCACTCGTGTGGACGTGGGAGTGTTTCTTTCTGTCACTGCTGTTGGCAAACTTCCTGTCGCAGCCATCAAATTCGCATTTAAAAGGCTTCTCTCCTAGAATTGAAAACATTAATAATTATCTTTTGGGGGAGAAATCCCAAATCTTGGCCATTTACATTTCAGATCCAAGCCATGGTTAGTTTGAAAAGAAACAAACAACAACACTAAGTGGAACATTTCACAGCTCTTATAAAACACGGTCCCCATGGAAAAATTCACTGCCAATCGTTTCTGTGCTCGTCATCAGGAGACTCATGATATGGTTGGGAAATAAGGTTACACCTGCCTGAGAGTTCAAACTGCGCTGGTGTCACATGAATAATATTTTGTAAACTGTGAAAATTAACTATGATTTTTCAAAAAGGCTCAGAACCATGAAGTGTTTACTTTTTCATGCACAATTTTTTTCTTGAAAATGAAAAATTGAAACGATGCGTTTAACAAACTACCCCCATCAATTCATTTGTCATCGAAGGCTGGCTTTGTCTATAGACTGGCATGTCTCGTCCTAATCCCTTCATAATAGTCTATGCTATATGGAGAATCTTTCCTTTTCAGAAATAAGAACAACACCTGTTTAAGTGCACCACCGTGACGTCGGGATTTTTGCAGGCCATATTTTAAATGTAGAACAATATCTATTCACCTTTATTCACAACCTGCACGTTAGTGACAACAATATACTGTAATAGCAATAGACAGTAATAAAGACAACAGTGGACTGCTATTACGGTATCTATTTACCTGAGGCTAATTTGTGTCTAAAAATCTATAGCAAATCTATTTTAATAGCTTTACGCATTGCTTAACAGTTAAAGTGGTTGTGAAAATCAGCCTCAGGCCTTTTTTGTTTGGCATACCTTTAAGTTGCACCGGGTCCTGTAATACAATACTTTGGTTCATGTGTGTTTTGCTACATAAGGGATGTGTAAATGCCTATTATTGAAATAACAGGGAAAAATGTGCCATATCATTTTATTACAAATGGGATATAATTGAGAAGAGTAACTTTTCTTCTTTGTCATATTGCACGTGAATCTGATATATCTAAAATGCATAACACCATTTATCGCAAACATTTATTTTTAAAATCCTGAAGTTTTATGCCGTACGATATCTGATGCATACTTTTGAACACATTTTGTTCTAAATTTTCAAAAATAACAGTGTGCTGTAACCCCTACAATAGAACCACTTCGAGCTGTATTGAAGAAAACCTTATTGGTCACTACTCTTTGTATAGTTAATCTTACAGTAAAATATCACTTGAGGACAAGGAAGCACGCTTTTGATAATTGTCTGGTCCTTTTTTTGCTAACGCGATACAAACATTTCTTTCTATGTTCTAATTCCAAATCAAGTTACTCGGTTTGAAATGGTTCACATACATTTGCGCTTAGTCACAACTATCAGAACATGTCTAGTTCCACACAAAATAAACACTATTATCTCTCTCCTCCCCCACAAATTATGTTGATTAAGAAATCCAATCTGGTACTTTTAAAATGCAGTTTTCGTATACACATAAACGCCCGCGCACTCCCACCTCCCACCGAAAAGGATCTCACTACACGGATGAAGTCACTCTCTCTGTTCATTCTATCTGACATATAGCGAATCTATTGGGAAAATTTGGCTACATTTGTACTGTTTGACAAAAATATTAGATTTATAGATCATATTATAATTTTGTACTCCGAATAGTTTTAAGAAAAGCTATTTGACAGATAAACTGATTTGTATTATTCGCCTCAGACACGGGGATTGTTATTAAAAATTGGTTCCATCAGTGTTTCAAAAAAGAAAATGGTTCTTTTCGGGACACCTAGATTGCAGGGATCAAATTTCACAAAATTACAAACAAGAAAGATCCTGAGTTATATTTGGTACTCTGACGAAGCTTTTACGTCAGAGTTTAACCATTTGCAGATTGTTCCCGTTTAATATTGCTAGCTGGAAAGGATTTAAAGATACACAAGGGCATCTTTTCAAAGTTCTTCCGTGAATTAAAAAAATATGAAAACATTTATTTATTGCCAAACAGTGATACTGCTAAACATTTTCCTGTTGAGGGTCCACATTTTTAAGCCATATGTTCCATTAACATTATGAAGCAAACATCTTCGGGGATCAATAAAATATTTTGTTTGCAATAATGGATTAGTTACACTTTACAGTGCTAAACTATTAGACCGAAATAGTTTGTGATCATATTGTCCAGCGGAGCTTAAGAAGGGGGAAAACAATTCAAATTATAGATAAATTTCTCTTGTCCGGGGAGCTGTAAAAAAACGGTCAAAATCCAGTAATAATTAAACATAACATTATTATGGGTTATTTTAAACAATGACACCGAAAATTAATAATCTGTAAATCCTTCAAGCGCTTTGTGCATTGCCGAATGAGAGCTACATGGTAAAATACAATTATCTGATCTTTTCTTTTGACTTTCAGATTTGGGTCTTGCAAACATGGAAACAGCTATTCTGTGCAGACCTGTGTGCGCACGCGAGGAGATGGGCCTCCTAGCACAGAGCAGCCTAGCCCGAGGAATACCCTAAAAACGACCCCTTTCTCCTTCCCTGGGCCGGGCTGCCAGCGGGCTGGAGGGACGCTTTTCTTTCGCGGCTGCAGCCCGGAAGGGGCAACTTGTCTGTTGCATCCTTCTCCTTCAGTTCCCGAAGGCTGCTGGTCTGCAATGGCCTCCAGTGGCTTGTCGTGTATATGTGTGTCAGTGTGTCTCTGGGCTCGCTATGTGTGTCAGCTTCTCCCGCTCGCGCTCTCTCCGCGTTCCGTGTGTGCCAGTATCTGAACTGCTCGCTCGCGCGTTCTGTCTCCAGAGCTCTGCACGTGGGGCTCGGGAGCTCTTTGCGTGTGTGTGTGTGTGTGTGTGTGTGTGTAAGGTGTGTGTGTGTGTGTGTGTGTGTGAAGAGCTCTCTGTGTGTGTGTGTGTGTGTGTGTGTGTGTGTTTAGTAGGGAAGCATTTACATCGCGCTCTCCGTGCGTGCCTCTCTCCGTGCACGTGTATAGCGGTGTGCATTTGTGTCGAGCCAGCGCCGCAGATCTCGGTAGCTGTATTTATTTACAGCTGCTCGCCACTCTGCAGAGACCCGTCTCTCTGTGTGTATTTGCTACCTCTGGATGCGCGTGCGAGAGCTGCTGTACCTCCCCGTGGGCATCTCCGCAGCCTGGAGTGCCCAGGGAGCCCGCGTGTTGCCCACTCTGCTTGCGTGTCTCCGGACGCACCTCTACAACTGCACTTTATCTGCCTCTGGCTGTCCCTCTGCCCTGCATCGGCGGCCACTAGCCAGAGAAGCTTAGGGTTTGAAGGCCCTCTTTCTCCAGCCGTGGCCCGCTTGCCCCAAGAAAGCGCCTCACCCTTGGGTTGCACAGCAAGGGAGAGCTGCCCCCGAAAACCGTCCCTTGCTTTGTAAGCAGGATGCCCAAGCGGGAGTTAAACCCAGCGGATCGCGGGCAACCGCGAGAGCCGGTCCTGGCCGCAAGCCCCCAAACTCCGTTGGCGCTGCTGTGTTTTGTGCCTTGTCAATGTGACTAGAGCTGCTCCCGCCCGGGAGAAGTTGAGAGCAGCGGTAGGAAGGGGAACGCGCTTCCCGAGCCATAAATCTGAGCTCCCTTTTAATTGCAAAAGGGGAAACGTGCTCTGTGGGCTGCCCTTTGTTGTTGTTTAGGGTTTCTTTTTACAAAGATAAATGAATAAGCCCGCTCCGCTCTCCCTCCCGGCCTCCCCACTCGCACTCCAGCCTTCTGCTCCCGGGGCCGGAAAGAGGAGAAGGCTCCCAAGTTGCAAATCATATTTTTAGAATTTGGCACCGTTCCCTTTTCATGTGCGGGGGGGCATCCCCAGCGCCTCGCCCGGTGACAAGGACCAGGAGATAGTGGGGCTCGATAAGTGTCGTGTTTAAGTTTTGTTCTCCGAATCCTGGCGGCAGCTGGATACGGCTACGTTACAAAACCACGGTAGGGAAACCAGATCCTCGGAAATGCCTCCAGCATTACACTCGGCCCGCAATGCCATTAGCAAAAAGCTGTCAGCATGCCTGCAGAAGCAAGCCTTCCAGGCTCCGAACTGAACGGCCTGGGCAGCGAGGGCCGGGAGTCCTCCTCTCTCTGAGCGTTAAGTCTGGGCTCTTGTCCGACATATTCTGTAGATAAAATCTATGATCCTTTCAGCCACGGGCCATTTGGCTTTACATTGGAACAACACGTTGCCCGCTTTTCTCTTTGCAGCAACATACAATAAATCAAGAAAGCAATTATGTAAACTCCATTTCCTTAAGTATCCTCCAAGGAATAATATTTGTCTGCAACTATAAATCCCAGCTTCGTTCATTTTCCTCTGAGGGTTTTTTTTTTACCTAAACCAAAATGTCTATGTGTAAACCAAAACAAGTCCCGTAAACAATCCCCCTCCCCCAACGAGGGACCCAGTCTAACGGGACACTTCCCAGAATCTGAAGGGTTTAACTTATGCGTCTTCTCAAAATCACAGCCTAGGCTGTGACTAGGTAAAGGCGGCTTTGAAGCTTCCTCCTCAAAACTACAGTAAGAAACTTCCTTAAACACACACACACACACACACACCCCATCAACAAATCCACAACAAATGTTACTTATCTTGGAACCTTCAAGCGATCAGCGTTCTCTAGGGGAACTACCAAGAGCCCAGGTCTTTTCATTGCACCTAGCAAAGGCTTTTGCTTAATTTAAAGAGGAACTGCGACCCCGTAACCCTCCCCCTCCCAGCCCGCTTCCACTGAAACTCGGCCTGGGACAAGCCTCCCGTGCGTCCTCCGGCTGAGACTCTGGCTGGGGCAAGCCTCCCTCCTCCCTTCAGAAGCGCAGAAACCGAAGCACCACCCGGGATTTTCGGGTGGGGTGGGGTTTGGTCTGGAGTGGAAGATTTCCTTCCTCCCTCCCTCCCCCTCGCGTATTCCACGAGAGAAAGCGGGGCCTGTCGACGGGGCTGGCTCTTCTCCTCCTTCCTGGTGTGCTGGTTCCCGGGCCCTGCCTAATTTCCTAGCTCTACGTGTTTCTCGATTGGAGGTGTTTGCTGCAGGTTCCGGGTTTGGCTGTGCGGTGTGTGTGCGCGCGGGAGACACTGTGTGTGTGTGTGTGTGTGTGTGTGTGTGTGTGTGTGCGCGCCCTGTGTGCTACTGAATTACTTATTCATGAAAAAAGTCACATGTTTGAATGTCCGCGTGATGAGAGGAGGAAAAAAAAAAACAACAAACCAGGCGAGGGAGGGAGAGAGCGAGGCGGCGGGGGATACCCACCTGTATGAGTGCGCTTGTGAATCTTGAGGTTCTCGGATCGGGCGAAGACCTTGCCGCAGCCCGGGAAGGGGCAGGGGAAGGGCTTTTCCCCGGTGTGCACGCGGATGTGGTTGATCAGTTTGTACTTGGCCTTGAAAGGTTTCCCTTCCCGCGGACACTCCTCCCAGTAGCACACGTGGCTGCTCTGCTCCGGCCCGCCGACGTGCTCCACGGTGACATGGTTCACCAGCTCGTGCATGGTGCTGAAAGTTTTCGAGCAGGGCTTGCGGGCGGCGCCGGCCGGTGGCGGCGGGTCCTGGTCGATCCACTTGCAGATGAGCTCCTGCTTGATGGGCTGCCGCATGTAGCGCAGGAA